TTTAGTATGATCCCAATATGCAGCAGGAGGGAAGATACTGATAAACTGAAACTTCTACCTTCTGTTAGGAGAACAAAGTGACTAAACTCATACCAAGACACTCAAGAAACCCCAGAAATGAACCGAGGAGAGATGAATGCAACGCTGAACGCTCCAGTCCCGCTTCTCCAACACTGAAGCGGGGGAGAGCTCCACAGGCACCTCTCAGTGCTCAGCTCCTCCTCTTCTATCACAGTGTATAAACACCTGATCGTGCCACACAGAGGCTGAAGGTGAGTGAAACCAAAGTCTTCATCTTCACAATCTGCGTCGTGCACAGAGGAATAAGAACAGAGTTCTAAAGAATGAAACAGATGTTGCAAAGACAGGAATCTTTCCTTTCTTGAGCAACAGGGCTTAGTTATAGTGGAAATGTAAACTTGGATTATCATTAAAAGACAGAAAAAGGAGATGGAAGAGGCTGGGAGCAACTGGACAAGTACATGTCTGACTGCTTCGTTGTGCGGTAAGACAAAGATAGTGGGAGGAAAAATTGATGAACTGTCACAGGATGACAGAAGAGACCTTTGTTGGACCCACTGACTCTGAACAGAGAATGAGTCATGGATCTACTTAATTCTTGCTTCATTTAAAGACAGTAAAGTATGGGTACAAATCACAGACGCTGCCAAATAAGTCAAATAAGAAAAAAATTTAAAAAAAACCTTTTCCATGCATGATTTGGTTTGGGTCAAATTTATTAATAGCTATTTGCTTTGCAGGGTGACCTGTGCGCTAGAGCTCAGGGTTTTTGGGAAGCCTTGCTCCCTCACTGCCTGCCCAGGCCACCTCTCGCCTGCAGGTAGCACCCACACTGCGCTAGGCTGAGAACCAGGAAACTCGCCCCATACCTGCACAGGTATGTCAGCTAGGCATGCGTGCACAGGCGTTGATTACTATGATATTCACAACCATATAATACATTTGACCAAAAGCAGATTTTAATGGGGGTCCCTTTTCCATATGGCAACCTCCTTTCAAAAGAGGCCCACTTTTCCCTATAGGGGACTGGGAAGGGTTGCAGGGCATGTCCTACCTTCTGCCCATCACAGGGACTCTCAATAGCAGTGGTCACAGGGACCTGGCTTTGGGAACTGTTGTACAGACTTGCTGTATTTTACATGGGAACTATATGAACTTGTGCATTCCAGTTATAGAAACACTGATTCAGTTTAAAAGCTACTGCTTTGAACCCTCAGCCAAGGGTTCCTTTGTGCAGTATCAGCCTTAAGGAACCCAATCTGGAACTATTTTATCAATCTTCCAAATGTTCAGGCTCAATATGGAGATTAGAGAGAAAAAAAAAAGGTTAGGGCTGAGCTAGCTGCATGCTGTCAAACTGTTTGAAGAAGGGAACTGCAAGTTGGCTTTGATCCACCCCAACACACATTGGAAGTAGATTTCAGCTACATCTAACACCAGCTGGGCACATCTGAGAGGAGCTAGCTGCATACCTCAATCCCAACAGGCTCATCTCAACAGAAATCAGAGTGCATTATTTTACTCTAGTTTACTCCCTAAGCTGTCCTTGCTGCCTCTCACAGCCCCCCACAGGCCTTCACCCACTGGGGACAGCCACAGAACAGCGTGTCCCAGCTCTTATAAAGCAAAGTCAGATGCTTCAGAGCCTACACATCCCTAGATTCACCTCACTTCCACAGAATACTTCTACAGAAAGTTTTGATAAACAGGAAAAAGCACGTTTAAGCATTCAGTAACAGTTTGTTACAGTAACTTGCGTTTGGAATTTCCCTCTCTTGACCTTCCCAAGGTGAAGGCCCGTGCGGAATGACGGCAGCCGAGGACAGGGAGTACCCAACGTCACTGTGCTGGCTCAGGATTTATGTAACCCGTATGTCTGGAGGGAAGGATTAGTTCAAAGTCGTGATAGAGCCTGAATCAACTTTGCCTAGTCAAACTGCAAGCAGAGCTGAGTTTACAAACTACCATGTTTGCAATGCAAACAAGGACTGGTTCATCGAGGCAAATACACGTTAGGTGCAGCCTTAAAAAGGAACAGAATTTAACGTACAAAAATTGCAGAAAGACTTTCACATTTGTTTTTATTGCTTGGACTGTGTAGCAGATAATTTCCTTTCTATGCCTTTTAATAGGGAATCAATTTTAATGTCTAATCTAAAATGACACACACCAGCAAGGAAATAGTTGATTGCTTGCTAATATCCAGTGTTACAGTATTCAAAACAAGACTGCACCATTCCCTAGCCCTCAAATATGTTTTTCCCACCCTAACGCCACCTCCTCTTTTCTTGTGCTTAGTATCGATGCAGCACATAATGACTTGTACTAACAAACAGATTAGTTTGAAATTAATTTAGCAAAAAAGTGGAGTAGTTAAAAACGTGCCATATACTACAGACATTACCAGAAAATATTCTTCCAAGTCTTTCAAATCAATAAGTGCTGGCTGTGAGGACTGAAGTTGCCTGGGGCTACTTGAAGTCACATAGTTTCCCAAAATTTGAGAATACTTTTGGAACTGAGTAACAATCACTCCTTCCACTTCTGTTTTTTTCCTTCCCTTCTCATTCCTCAGGGAACTCCTGCCTTCCCCACACAATGCAACCACTTCCCAAAATGCCTACAGAATCCCTATGTGGAATCACACACTGTCAGAAAAACAATAATCTTTTAATCCAAGTTTTCTCATTTTACTTATATGACTAAGAGTAGCTAGAGTTCTTCAACAAAGAGTTTACAGTACTTAAAGCTAAAAATCAAAGTGGAACAGTATTTCTGTTGAGTTTAAATAAGAACTAGCATGCATTAAAAATACTCTATTATTGTCATATATTCTGTAAATATCTCATTTTGAACTGGCTTATGTGATTTAGAGAAAATGGCAAAACAAAAGACAATAAAAAATCCTAAAAACTCACCCATACTAACACTTAGTCATACATGGAGAGCAAGAAAATCATCTGCTGTTTAAATCATTACTGTTATACTAATAGACTGAAGCAAAAAAAAGTTTATAAAACAGTATTCAAAACAGTATTCAGTAATGAGCCCCTGAAACAGGAAGCCTGGCTCCCACATGGAAACTTGAAATCCTTTAGCTCTTTGACAATTAACACCCATAGGGTAGGATGGCTTTTAACGCATGTTGTTGGAAGTGTTACTCCTATTCGGTTATTTCTCGAGCCCAACAGATGAGGTCACTGCAGAGTCATAAAAGTCCCTCTTCAAACGGGCTGTTTTCTGCCTAGATTTCAGCTTGAATTCAGCAGCCTTTGCTGCAAGCTCGTTCTAGCCTTCATTATTCTCTGCCTAATTTTTCTTGTTCACTTGCATTTATTTCTCCTCTTCACCCTCTCAGTTCTGCACTTCACTTCCCTATCAATCTAAACAGTTTAAAATGCCAGTCTGTAAATGCCCCAGACCTACCACCCCACATTTCTGTGCTGATACAGAACCACCTGAATTGAAAAAGCTGGTGCCTGCACAGTCCCCTTCTGGAGCTCCCTCCCCTCAGGGATCCTGAAGTCCTTCCGGACAGCAGCAGCTACAAAGAAACTCATGGGCAGTCAGTTTATATTGCTAATAGCTCCTAGTAACATTTCTGAACAGAAATCAGATGTAATTACACAGCAAAACCCACATGGCTCTTCTATCAGGTTATACAGAGCTTTCGTGATCTTGTTCAGAGATCCCCACACTGGAACAGCCATGCAAGGAAGGATGTTAACAGATGAACAGCTCATTTCTCCTCCCCATCCTTGGCAGCATAAATATGTCTCTATAGCTCTTGAAATTCTGCACTACTGTCTGCTCCCTGGGACTTTTCCTCAAATAATCCAGGCTTCTTCTATGATCCCACGCAAACAACTTGCAAACTTCCTTTTCTATTTTCATAGTAAGGAAAGCACCCCCTTCACGAGCAAGCATCTCATGAAATCTCACCACAGCTCGCAAGCAAACACCTTTCAGCAAGTTTATCTAATCTCCCCACCTCAGCTGCTTCCATCTCCATATACTATCTGCCCTCTCTTAGGAATAGCTTTGAAGTAGTTCTTAGAACAACAACAAAAAGTATTTCTTGTAATTGCCAGAAGTAAACTACTTCCTTCATTATCAAGTATATTTGTAACTCAGCTTTACTTTCACAAGTTTTAAAGTCTAGCTTTGGAAGGCATGCCAGTGGCTGCTTTTTCCTCACACCTAATTAATATTTGCTTGACACACACAAAAAAAGAAATCAAAAAACCACAAACAAAACACACACACACAAGAAACCCCTCTAAATTATATCTTAATACAATCCCAAGAGGGAGTCCCAAGAACTCTTAAAATAGTTACCAGTAAACAACCAGCATTATTCGACTTAAATGACAAAGTGGAAAGAACTGAATTCAGTCTGAGCTGCACTTGGAAGAACAGGTCTCAGAAGCTTAGGGCAATAGGAAGTGAAACAAAGTTAAAACTTGGACAGGATGTGGTTTGAACCATCTTAAGGGTTATTCAGCTTAAGGACAAAACTTACCAGCATAATTTTATTATTCTGAGTTTCCTACATAATAATTCATTCTAATTTTTCCTCTTCCCCCCAACTAGTCAATATCACATATATGAACACTGCAAGTATATTGATTTTCATTTCTAAAACAGCGACACTTTTGATCCACTATTTTGGCAGAGTTATTACCAATAACTTAGCTATAAATATAAGCATTGCCTAGATGGAAAAAATAAGCACAGCTTTGCACTGTTAATACAGTCATTACATAGGAACAACCATTTTCCTGGAACAACCATTGCATAGGAACAACATATCATTTTCACTCCTAAAGTCCAGATAAATCTCTGAACTTCACTGTAATGTTTGCTACAAAAATGTTCTATCAGTTTCTCAAGAGAGTAAATAACAATGAGGAACTAGTTATTTTATAATCAGCCTAAGCACACGCAAAACTCTTAATGAATATTTAACCAGCACTTACATTTTCACACTGCATCTTTCTGGGTTTTAAGTGGGAAACATTGAGACCATCAATAACAATATCAAATGGAAGGCGATCTTCCACAAATGCTTGAAAGGCTTCAAATTCCTGAAAAAAAAAATAAAGTGAAATTGAAGGGGAGAGGGATGGGAATTTGATTCATTTCATTGTCTTATAATAGAAATAAAACCCAAATCTCTCACTTTTCATTTGTTGGTTACATTTCTTATTTCCCCTTATATATTTACTAAATACCAAAAGGAAGTATCTTTAAAAACATCAAATATTACAATGGATATTTGAAAAAAATAATTTGAAATTCTATTATAAGAACACCGAAACAGCTAAAAAACCTCTTAAAAGTCATCTAGGCTTCCAAAATTATCATCTGAACTACACATTTTTATAAATACTGTAGTTATTGTTACACAACAGCTGCAAAACATAGTATTTAAAAAGGAGAAAAAAAAGAAATGAAGAAGAAGAAGAAAGAGCAACTTTACCTACCAGGAGGCTGTGACACTGCTGCTAACTCTAACACCTTCAAATGCAAAATAAGCATCAATATTCCATAAGAACTCTTAAGTCTTTAAATACTAATCATTGGATAATAGTGCTGTATTTAAAGACGATATTAACGCAGCCTTCCATCTGTGAGAAATAAACAAATCCTTAAACCTGCCCAAACAATGAACTTTGTTATGAACATGATACAGCGATCAAGCAAACGAGATTCATGGAGTTTTTCCAACTCCATGGAAAGGAAAAAGGGAAACCACAATTGCTTTAGGCCTGAGACCCCATATGAGCAGAAGAGACAATAAAATTTTAATTTTTAGGTTTTTTAGCAGACACTTGCAGTTGATCTCTACTTCCTGCTTCTCGATGTTTTTAACAGGCATAGGAACTGTAAGTCATCTAGTTGGGCAGTGACCTGCTTTCATGGTGGACTTTCGTATCAACAGGTAGTACTTATTTGATCAAGTAGTAGAGGTTTCTCCATCCAGGACTATATATGAAGCCCAAGGGGAGCTCAGAACAAGCGCAACTTTCACACGTATGCTCAGAGTGTGTGAAGGATTTTTCTAATTTTGCCTTCTCCATATTATGAGGAAAGTCTAAGTGAGTTGGGTCTGTTTAGCCTTCTCTACAGAAGAGAAGACTGAGAGCCGATCTGATCAATATGTATAAGTACCTGAGGGGAGAATGTAGGGAGCATGGGGCCAAGCTCTTGTCTGTGGTGGCCAGTGACAGGACAAGGGGTAATGGGTACCAGTTGAAACACAGGAAGTTTCATCTCCACGTGAGGAAGAAGTTCTTTCCATGAGGGTGACAGCCCTGGAACAGGCTGCCCAGAGAGGCTGTGGAGCCTCCTTCTCTGGAGATCTTCAAAACCCACCTGGAACTGGACCTGTGCCATGTGCTCTGGGTGTCCCTGCTTGAACAGGGGGGTTGGACTAGATGATCTCTAGAGGTCCCTTCCAACCTCAACCATTCTGTGATTCTCCCTTGTAACCATCCAGCAATACTCAAGTCTACAGCACAGCACTCTCCACCACAAAAGCCTACATAGCGCACACAATTCCTCCTCAGAGGAGTAAAAGAAAAATTGTCCAAAAGATACACTTCTAACAGCAACAGGAAGTGATCATGTGTGTCACTTTAGTCACAATGTTGATGACAAATTATACTGGAAAAAGGGATTACTTATACATGAGTATAAACCAAGCGAGACAAGACTGCCTCACTGATTCAGATGTTAAGCTTTGTGGCACAAATTCCAAGTGAACTGAGCTATGCTGATCAAAAGCTGTCATGAATACAGGACACTACAGCATCAAAATCAATTGGCTTTTATGTACTGCTTCTTAGCTTACATAAACATGCTTAGTGAGAAAGCATAAAAGCAGCAAGGGAACAAACAAATTGCTGACACTTGCAAAGTTTTCCCCCCCTCTATACACAAGCACCATCTTGTTGTGCTTTATATAGATGAATAAATACCCACATCACCAGCAGATGGACAGGGAAAGCAAGACAGAAAGGAAGAACCTTAACAAAAGCTGGGGTACAGGTGTGGGGCACAAATCAGGCTCCAAATCCCCCCACCCTTCCTGGATTCCCAGTTTGGGTGCTCATGCTGGTCGGTGGATTTTCCCTGCTGTCCCACATCAGGTAAGGTTTGGCTGTAACACAGGATTGCTGTATGAAATGAAGGAAAGAAGAAAGAAAACACTACAGACTGAATGATGGTAAAAAAGGAGACTTTTGAAGGAGGAAGATAAGTAAGAAAAGATGAAAGACAGGAGAAGCAGATAAAAATACACATAAACACTCCAAAAGAGTGTTATTTTCATAATGCCAGCATTGAGATAACAGTTGTTACTGTCTGGCAGACATTTTTAGAAAGGATGGTATCCATGTAATCCCGTCTTTAACGGCTCAATTCAATCCAGAACACTTAATGAATAATTTTAAGGGGTATTTGACTTCAAGTGACGGTAATTACAGAGCAGTCTCTCACCAGGGCAGGTTTTTCCTAGCGGGCAGGGCAGATGGCCCTAGGGAGAAACCCCTCAGCCCCAAAGCTGCGGAGCAGGAGCTGCCAGGAGGCTTCGCAGCTCTCAGCAGCCACTCTCCATTCTGACCTCTCGGCACGCAGGAAAAGCTGCGACGGGCTTTACCCCTTTGCTCACCCCACCGATCCACGCTGGAGATGGCGAGGAGCTAGCAGTAGAACCAGTGCAGAGACAAACACCTGTGTTCAAGTTGTCACTGAACACAAGGCTCCAGTGAAAAGCCTAGACAGACCAGACAGGGCTAGGAGCAGCGCAGTGGCCTCTCTGCGCCTAAAAGCACTGACACGCACACAGCAAACACGACACTCACTCCAACCAGCCCGGCCTAGGCTGGTCTCAGGCTGCTCTGAGGAAAAGGTTATTACTTCAGACTTGGAATTACTACTCCGGCTTGCTGCAGAGATGGCATCTGAAGAGACTAACTTAAGCATATGCTCAGCGTTGCTTACTTAGAGGATCCTCTCAAGGAACTACAAAACAAAAATTGCAACAAACTATACAGCAATTCTATTACAGTCATTGCAAGATGACTTAAGAGAAGCCTGCGTACTGAAAGCGCACGCCTCAGTACTACCCAAATACAGGAGCACTCACGGGAGGTCCCACTGACAGTTGATTTTACACCGACTGCAAAGGAAGAGAGAATTGAAAGAAGAAATATCCTCTTTCACTCACTGTGTGGATGGGAAAATAGGGGAATGCCAGTGATGCGACAGTGGGAAGCGATTCACTGGCCCTTCTACCACGAGGACTCAGCTCCAGAGGTGAGGGCTCTCTCTCCTCTCTCCCTTCTCCCAGCCACTCACTCCCAGCCTTGCCTCTCATCTCCCGCCTGGATGGGGTAACTACAGCATTTCATGAGATTTTAGGTGGTCTCTCAACCTGAGGCACTGCAGCAAAACAAAAGGCAGAGGCTGTACATTAAAAAGTTCTTGTTTGGAGAAAAAAAGTGGCAGATATTTTCAGCGCTCATTTTCTATGCAAATAAAAACACACAACAAAACAGAAGAGTTACCTCAGACTTCAAAAATCTGCCTTATATAGCCTGCCAATTCTATATCAATAATATTTGAAATAGCAGTTGCAATGAATCTGAAAATAGAAGTAATGCTGTTTCACAAATGACCGATTTCAATTTCAGTTTCTTAAATATATTCTTGGAATATATTTAGGAACCTATTTTAATACCTGCCTGTGCACACAGACTACGAGTCTCAAAAGCATGATGAGAATAAGGAGGGGAAGAATGAGCCATTAGTATTTACACGTTTACCACTCTAAATATAATTACAGAAATAATCATCACAATTGAAAAAACATAATGAGCATCTCCTTTCAAAAGGAGAATGAGAACAATTCAAGTAAATATTTTGAGATCATTTTAATATTTGTATCAGATCTACAAAAGTATAACCTTTCAGATCAAGAAATCTTAGGTTACAACATTCTTCTGCTCAAGTGTTTTAGGTCTAAATAGGAAAAGTGCACAACTAACAAATAAAAACATGGTCTTTCAGTTTTTCAACAATCCAAAGTTTCCATAGATATAACTGTACAAGGTAACACAGAATGATACAGCACACAGGGGCATTGTGAGCAAATCCATAAAGGGATATTATGTTTATGTCAACACAGGGAATTAAAACAAACAAAAATGACAGGCCTAGCAAAAACTACTAAACCCACTGCAGAGGAGACAGATTGTTGCTTCTTCTGAACAATAAAGTTTGTTTTCACTCACCAGAAATGGCAGAGAGACCCTACAAGTCTCCGTTTGATTTAAAAAGTGCAAAATTACTGTTATTAATATTTGACTTCCAAGAGTATTCACGATATTCTAACATTTGTGCAAACAAAAAAAAAATGGTGCTCCTCTACAAAGAGAATGGCAATACACTTCAGTGCAAGGAGAGAACAAATTCATCATAATTCTTGTTATTAAGCATTACATAAGTCTAAGTATCAAACATTTTTTAAAAAAAATTCAAGACTGTAAAAGCATTTTTGGAGAAGTGAAAACATTCACTTTTTAGCTCCTTCATTAAATACCAAGTGATGGGGGATTGCTCTGTTTTTGGCAGTGTTTCTCAGTATGGGAAGAAAACACAGGAATTAGCATTATAGTGTGAGAAGTAAAATTCAGCTGTTAAAAATAAAATCCAGATTTTTGTTTTGTTTTGTTAAAGGCACCTGGTTTTGTAACCATTAGAGAACTATTTGTTGCTATGCCTGAAGGGTGTAAATATTTCCTCCGCAGTTTCAAAGCTTGGAAATCCCCTTCAAACCCTTATAACCAGGAAGGCTTTTCTCAGCAGTGTGTTGATACACACTCTGGCTTGCATACGATTCGTGTGTCCTCTAGTATTTACCCTTCTACAGTTGACAGGTAACTCGGGGGTCCATGATCCAGCTCTGGTGGCTGCAATCCTCACGGCCACTCCTGCAAGCAGGGGCCCTCGGAAGGACGGAGCGGGCATGCGGCCACGGGGTGCCGTGTGCTCCGTGCGCATCACCTCAGCAGTGCGGCCAGCGTTCCCAGAACCCGCTCCTGCTTCCCATGTGGAGCCAGGGCCATGCAGGCCTCGGCGCTCCCCAAATCTCCTTTCCTAAGCACAAGTCAAACGGAAGGAGGATCAAGTGGGTCGGGATGCTCTCCGCAGTGGAAAAGTGGCTTTGCAACGCTGCCATTCTGCGTGCAAAAGGGAGGATGTCCCATTCGGCCTGCTTCTAAAGAAAATACCTTTGCAAAGGCAGAGAGGGACAAAGTGGGGCAGGAATGAGCAGCTGTAAGGAAGCAGGGCCAGTTATGCCAGTTTAAAAATCACACCGCCACCAAATGCTGAACTGCATTATGAACTGCTAACTAATGTTTACAGTCTCACGAGAAAGAGCAACTGCTCAGAAACACCGAAAGGCACCCAGTGTTCCATCCTCTATTTTAATATTTCTAGGAATGAGACAGGAGATTAGAAATTGGAGAGCATCTGTACGCTGTAACCTAAACGAGTGATTAAGAACAGGAAAACAGTCCTCTGGAATTCTATGGTCTGGCAGGTTTAAAGTGCATACCTCCTGCAAAAGAAAAATCTCTAAGAATTCTTTGCATGTGTTCACGACAAGCACATAGAGTCAGACAACAACAGATGTGCAAAAAAGACCAATAATTCTTCACTACAAGATACTAAAGAAACTGAACTAGTCATGGCATTGAGAAAGATAGAAAAGAAAAAAGCAAAAGGTCATGTTAAAAAACAAAACACCCAAAATAGTCTTTCAAAGCTTTGCAAATTCCCATATTTATTAAATATTCCAGGTATTTAGAAAGGGAATGACACTAAAAAGTCAGGCTAATTGCAAACGCAAAATCAAATTAAGTTCACTATCATAAAGATGAAGCAGTGGATGCTGTAGGGACACGTCTCCTACATCTCCAAGTTCTAGAGCAACTGAATCAGGTTCCAGGATCCTTACAGACAGACAGTGCAGTCAAAACATCTGCTCAAAAGGCAGCTGTTCTGGAATCTAACCAAATCTTAGAGACAAGGCACTGGAAGGACAACACGCATCTCTTAGAACCTCATGATGCTATTTTAATCAGCAGAAATTGGAAGACCCTGTACTAGACTAAGGCCCTGGCCCCTGCAGCATCAGAAGCACCTGGTTTTGCCCACTGCTGGACTTACAGCCCCTGGACTTACAAGGATCATTTGTTGGATTGGAATGTTTCAAAGCATCTGAAACAAACCTGCTCACACTGATCTTACTTACGAAGTATTTTCAAGGTCAGCAGTAGTCAGAGACAGAGAGGACTGAAACAAGGACTTATT